AAGAGCCATCAAGCCCTGAGAATGATGAAGGAGAGAGGTTCAGGCCTCAAGCTCAAAAGGAGGTGCCTGGTTAGGATGGGCCCATGTGAACTTTTTTCCTATAAAGGCCTCTGGCATTCCACAGGGCGGGGACAGGACGTGATTAATCACTATGCTAAAGGGGGTGTCCAGAGGGTCTCCTTCCTCTGGGACAGTGTCCCTGTAGCCAGTGCCTTGCCTGAGAGGTCACCTCAGCCAACAGGCATGCTTGGTGTGAGGAGATGGGAGTGAGGACAGGATGGGGAGCTAGGCTGAAGGCTGTCCTACAGCCTCCTCTACCCAGTAGGGGAGCAAGTCAGCCCTGGTGCAGTACCTGGGACAGGGCAATCATTACAAAGGGTCACGAGATGACAGAGAAAAGTCAGAAGCCACTCAAGGGGCAATGTGACTCAGCTCCAACACTGTGCTCTGGGTGAGCTGCTTAGTCTTCCCTCTGTATATGAAAGAAGGGGCTAGATTTTTCCAGTGATTCCCAAACTTGGCTTCTCTCCCAAGGGATTCTACGGAATAAAGCAATCTGAGATGTAACCCTTGCCTTTCTGCACATATGTGTGCGTTAGTCATAATTGGAAGGAGGGAGATAAGAATGTGTCAGGATCCCTAATTCATGGAGAAGGCCAGTCATTTGCAGAAAGAGGGGAGGAAGGGCTTCTAAGTGGTCTGAGGAGCACCGGAAACCTCCAGTCTTGAGTGATGCTCGAAAAGGTTTGTCCTTCCCTGGCGTCAGGGAGGACGGTGTGTGTGTGTGTTTGCTTTTTCCGGGGCTCTCCTCCCTCAGTGCCTAGACTGCTGGAGAGAGTCCCCCGTGGGGAGGACTCAGCAGGATGATGGGAGTATTGTACCCGGCACAGGGGTGACACTAAGCAAGTGCTCAATAAACCAACTGGGGCTGCTTTAGTGACACTGTCTGTGATGGGAGTGCAGAGGTGGGGCTGAATAAGGTTTCCCCCTCATCTCCCAGGCCTTGGCCTCAGACTTCCACCACCATCCCCTAACAGAGAGAATCTCCACCCTGAAAGTAATAACCAGGAAGACTTGTTCTTTCAACCGTCAACCTTTCTGCAGGTTCCCAATAAGGGATGGGTGGGGTAGGCCACCTTTCTAGCTGCTATGGCTTTCTTTCCACTGCAGAAGCCCAGACCACAAAGCCACAGGAGAATCCTGCCCTTAACTCCACCCGCCTATCTCTGGGGAGGGGCTTTAGGTAAGGGGCTTCCCCAGCCCAGTTTACTTCAGGTGGATCACACTCAGCTGGGTAGAAGCCAGAAGGGGGGCTGGCACATGAGGCTCCCATTGCCACAAATGGTTTCGAGGGCGTGGCCTCCCACACTGCCTGCCCAAACCAACCACGGTGATTTGCAGTTTCCTCTCCAGCAAGGCAGGTAGTAACAAGCCAGCCCCTACACCAATTGTCCTTCATCGGCCCCCAAAACACAGGGGATAGGGATGTGAGTAACATCAGGAACTGCAGAGACTATTTGGTTTCACTTCAGCAAGCATCAGCTGCCTACACAGTTTCCATCCCTGGTGGCCTCAGATTGGCCGGTCGCCTCCAAATCCAGGCTGGGACAAGCTGAGGAAGATACCACAAGCTCCAGGCTGTCCTACCTTTCACAACTCAGCCCCAGAGAGAACCACAGGCCCTGCACATGCAGATCCCTGCCTACGAGGAAACTGGCTCAAAGTGCACTTTGGTGAAAGGCCCCACCTGACTGCACCATCCCTGCTGGCAGCCCTACCCTGGTTAGAAAACTCGGCAGCATCATGTGGCAAAGACACAAACTAGGCTCCCACCCCCAGGATTCTGATTCAGCAGGTCTGGCATGGGACCCGAGAGTCTATATTTTTAACAAGTTCCCTCCTGAGTGGTTCTCAGAACCACAGGTGGACAGTCCAAACCCAGGCGCATCAGACGGTCCCGAGACACCAGGGTTCCTGAGCCGCCCACCATGGCCAGTCCACCTGTCAACCCATATGCAGGGCGGTGGCCGGGCCACTCACCCGATTGGCCGTGACAGCCAGATTCTGGAGGTTCTGCAGGAGGCCAATGTCAGCAGGGAGGAAGGTCAGGTTGTTGTGGCTGAGGTCCAGGTAGCGCAGCTTACGGCAGTAAAAGAGCTGGGTGGGGATCTTCTCAATCTTGTTGCGGTTCAGGTAGAGGCGCTCGAGGTTGGTGAGGTTGCCGATCTGGATGGGGATGTAGGCGATGTGGTTGTACCACAGCTTAAGGCAGGTGAGGCGGTGTAGGTGCTGGAAGCTGATGATCTCCTCAATGGTCTTGAGGTTGTTGTCCTTGAGGTCGATCTCCTGCAGGTTGTGGAGGCTGAAGATGGAGTGGGGGATGCGCTCCAGGTCACAGCGGATCAGCTCCAGCTCCGTGAGGTTCACCATCTTCTTGAGGCTGTTGAGGACGATAAGCTTGGTGCCCTCGTTGTTGATGGACAGCTTCTGCAGGTGCACACCCACGTCCGTGACCACCTGTGGCAGCTTGCTCAGGTTGCTCTTGAGCCGTAGCACCTTCAGGCGCTTGAGTTCCCGCAGCCCGTCGATGACAATGTAGCGGTTGTTCTCTGCGCTCAGGTTGTCTGTCAGGTGCAGCTCCTCCAGCGTCTTCAGACTGTAGATCCACAGTGGGATCTCCTTGATGTCAGTGAACTTGATGTGCAGCGCCCTCAGGTTCTCACGCAGGAAGGCCAGGGCTGGAGCCTCGATCTTGGCCGCCGTGTGGTATAGCCACAGCTCCTTGAGGCCAGTGAGCTGGGCGATGCTGGGTGGGATAGTCACATCAGGTATCAGCTCCAGCTTCAGCACCTCCAGCTCCACCAGGTCAAACACAGTGTCAGGGATGCCACTGAGCATGAATAGGTGCAGCTCCAGCTTGTCCTGTGCGTTCTTGGTGAGCCGCTGCCGCAGTTTGTCCAGTGTCCACTCATTATTGAGGTTCAGCTGCCGCAGCTTGTTCTCACTCACTTCTGAAAGGAAGACGGCAAAGCGCTTCGAGTAGAGTGGGTCATACTGGTCGATGAGGTGAAGCATGAAGGCAAAGTCATTCTTGACGTCCGGGATGTCACTGTAGCTGCTCTCCTCACGAATCGACTCGAACGAGTACTTTTTGAGGGAACGCCGCAACATCCACCACAGTGTGTACATGCAGATGAGGCCATAGAAGATGACCAGGCTGATGTAGAAGGAGGCCAGGATCTTGAACAGTGTGGCCAGAGGGTGGGCACAACGGTAGGTACGGTAGCCTGTCAGGCTCTCAATGTCCACAGTGCAGTCCACATCAAACTTGATGTTGTGCACATAGTAGATGGTGTAGCATATGATGAGGATGAACTTGATCACCTTGATGATGGTCTGCCGCATGTAGAGGCGGTACACGATGTCTCCCTCCTCCACATGGGTCCGAAACTTCTTCACCTTCTCAAACAGTGCCTTGGCTTGCTCCCCCTCCTTTTTGTCCAGTACACCTGTCTCTGAGCGGTCCACGATGCCCTGCTCGATGCGCGACTTAGTCCGCTGCAGCATGGGCACGGTGGCCTCCACGTCCTCGCTGACTGTGGATGACTTCTTGTCCATGGAGCCATTCATCTTGCTGAAGGCTGGTTTGGGGTCACTCTCCTCCACCACTGTCTCCGACAAGGCCCGTGTGGTCCAAGGCGAGTCAAAGCACTTGAGCAGGATAGACACAAAGTGTTCCAGCTTCGAGCTGGTGCGAGGGAACTTGAACCAGAAGTTGCTGCAGGCCAGGAAGATGAGGGTATGCAGGAGCACCAGGTAGGGGAAGTACTTGGCGAACCAGTGCAGCCGATTCTCATAGCACACGGCATCCACATAGTTGTACTGGTGCCGGTCCAGGTCGTACTTGATGCCTGTGGGGCCTGTGTCAGGGGTCGGCAGGAGCGTCGTGTTGGCGTAGGTGGGCTCCGGGCTGGGGGCCACCCAGCCCCGGAACGAGTCATTGCAGGAGTCCTTGGTGACCCACTTACAAGGCAGGCAGATCATCTTGTCCTGGGTGACCTGCAGCGTCCCGCCGAAGACAGCGATCATCAGCATGACAATGGAGATGTAGTCGGTGAACACGTCCCACCACGGCTTCAGAATCCGGTACGCTGGCTGTGTGTCCGCAAAGTAGCGGAGCTCAGTCACTGGAATCATGGTTCAACCTGAAAGAGACCCACAGGCAGAGGTTACCACAGAGTGGCCTGGCTTTCCTGGGAACCAGTGGTCAAAGTCAAGGAGACAAGAGACTCCGTCCAAAACTCCACCTCGAGTCTAGATGTGAGTCCTAGCCTTGCCACCCCCTGAGACAGCCCATGGATCAGCCCTTCTCCACCAACCACGTTGTCACCTGTTGGCTGGGATACCACTACAGGGGAAGGCACGAGGTATCCCCATTGAACAGACAGGAAGACTGTGCACTGTGAAGGTGGGCCCATGCGGACAGATCACTAATGTGGCCTCACCTTCTCCCACCCCACGTGCCCCTCACAATAGAATCTCGCTCTGCATTCCAGTAAGACCGCTTGGGAATTCCTGTCTTTATATTCCAACCTATTTATGATCAGGTTGACTTGAGGGCCGTGGTTATAACTCTGGGTCCACCCAGGAACAGGATGCAGCCATCATGAAGCTGCACCAGGAACCTGAAGTGATTTCCACAACGTGTAAGAAAAGCAAACTGCAGTCGAGTGGGTGCAATGATAATCCATTTTGAAAAAATAATGAAGTTTTAGAAAAAGTCCACCTGTGTGCATATGGTTATGTCTATATAGGATTCTGGGAGCATCAAGGGAAAACACACAAAGGGTTGCAAGGACAGGATCCTGGTAGAGAGAGCCAAACAGAAAGAAGATAAGAAAATAAGACCATTCTCCACCCCAAACCTGGATGAGCCGATTACACTTAAGCACTGATGTGAAATTATCTGTCTGTGTGCACATGTGCGTGTATGTGTATAAAGAAATTGAAAACTACAGTTGAAATTGAATCAGCAGCAGCAGATTCTCCCCCGCACTCCCCAGGGTCTAATTCAGGAGGTCCTGGGTAGAGCTTGGGAATCTGATTTTTAACACGTGACTTCAGGGATTCTAATGATTGGCCAAGTTGGAGAAACACTGAATAAGAAGCCACATTCAGGAAATAAATCCAGCCAGTGACACACAGAAAGTGTGTAGCAAAATAAACGTGGAGGAAGGAATCATGTCCACCTCCAGGAGGCCTTCTCTTGGGCCATCCACGGTTACCCTGTGAAGGGCAGTTGTCCTTAAGGCGTCCTGTGAGACTGTAAGAAGATTATAAAGGTAGCATATGTTCACGGCAGAACACTTAGAAAAGTATTAAAAAGCATAAGGACAATAAAAGAAAGCCCCTGTACAAACACCACCCAGAGTTACCCATTGTTAACTTTCCAATGAGTAACAGCCTTCCAGTACTTTTCCTGTATATTTTAAAACATAAAGTGATTTTATTGGACACCCTATTTTGTAACCTAGATCTAGATTTTAAAGCAAATACCTGTGTTTTGTCATATGGGTCTGTTTCTCTGAGGGAGAAGAACAGGAGTACCTGGGTTATGGGACTGAGTCCCCTTATTTTGATTACTGGTAATATAAATAATGATGATGGTAATAAATCCTTCATGAAACAGGACCTCCCTGCAAATGTTAAATGCTTCCTGTCCCCAGCCTTTCTAACTATACTGGAACAGGTGCAGGGGGTGGGGGGACAGTATCTCCCTATCTCAGGGAGGTGGAAACCGGTACTTAACAGAGGTGATGGTGGGTGGCTACTCTGTTTGCTGAGGGCCTGGTCTGTGCTAGTTAATGAGATAAGTGCTTCCCACACAAACTCTCATGGAATCCTTTCAACGGCCTGGGAGGCAGAGCTTGTCTTTAGCCCCATTCCACAGATGGGGGAACTAAGGCTGAGAGGTGAAGTCACCACCCAACGTCATTGTGCTAGTCAGTGGCAGAGCCCACACTGAACCCAGGCCTGTCCCTCTACTGCTGAGTTCACGTCCTTACCACCATGAGGGGCTTGTTCTCCACCTGCTCAAGGTCTCACACACAGGCGGTGTCAAGAGAAACTGGGCCCAGGAGTCCAGCCTCCGTGCTCCCCAAGGGTTACCAGAGCTCAGGTCACTGCAGAGCCAGCAGACACTACCACCCACCCTGAGCCGGTGGCTCCAGGGGACAGCCCTCCTGGTGAGGACAGGCCTCCAGCCCACCCCATTGGAAGGCCCCAGGCCCTCTAATGACCAGCTGGCTCCTCACACCACCCACACTCCTGCAAAAGTGGCACTCTGGGGGAGGGCCTGCTGAATCATGAAGCCTGCCTCCAGCTGGAGACACCCTTCCCTCACTTCCTGACTCCCCGTGTCCACATCCGGGTGGGCCCTGCGGATTGGGGACCAGAAGAGAGGAGGAGCCAAGATGAGTGGCCTAAGGCATGTAACAACCTGCCCAGGAGTCCCATTTGAGACTGCCATGCCACCCATGGGGAGGGTGCCAAACATTTGGGGTAGTAGTTTATGACCAGGCAGGATGTGGTCACAACTTCACCATATTTCTGAGGGGGAGTGGGGTGTGCGTCAACATAAAGGAGAACACCCAGTCTCCTAACAGTGAGGAATCACCTCTGGGCCCTCTGTTGCTTTCCTGACCCCTCCGGCTCTGATGTGGGAAGTGATCACAGCTCTGTTTTACAGGTGAGGGAACCTGAGGCTCAGAGAGGTAAAACTCACCCAAGGTAAGAAACAGTCCACCCTGTTCAGTATGTCTGACTCTTACTGACACCCCTCCCTGCCACACCCAGTCTCCAAGTACAACCTCAACTCTCTGCTCAGCCCTTGGCTAGGTCCCGTGGGAGCAACAGAAATGCCCAAGCTGTGTCGTTGCCTCGGTGTCTTCTCGGTTGAGTGTGAGTGTGTGGGAGGATGCCGGAGAGACAGAGGAGTGTCTAAATAGCTGGGCCGCTGTCTGGTGAGGGGGTAGCCATGGCTACAGTAGGACAGGCTTATGCAGAAGAGGTGGATGCCCGCTCCCCACTGGGAAAGGCTTCACAGGGGAGACAGTCCCTTTCACTGGGGCAGGGGCGGTGGGGGGATGGATAGCACCGGACCAGAGGTAAGGAAGGACAGACCGATGCAAGGCGACACTATTCCCCCAAAACCCAGGAAATGGCCTCCACAGGAGGAGGGGCCTCTACCCTTCTAGTTACCAGTTGGGGGGATAAAGTGCCCAGTCCTGTGCCAACCCTTGACATGGAGGACCCCGTGCCTCCTCAGTGCAGGGCTGTTACCATTCCCACTGGGCAGAGGAGGACACAAAGAGGCAGAGTCACAGGCCCAGGTCACAAAGCTAAGAAGGCACAGGACTCGGATGCCAGTGCAGGACAATCCTTGTGCCGGTGACCTGTCCCGAGGGGTCACCTCTAGCTACACCCGTGTTCCTGTCTCACTGTCCCTCCTGGATGGGGTGTTGGGAGAAAGCAGGAGACAGGGTGCAGATGCCAAATCCAAGGCTTTAGTCCCCAGGGGTGTCAGGGAAGAGGGGACGTACCACACAGCCAGGCCCCCAACGGGAGATGGCCAGGCACCTGCTCGCAGCACAAAGCAGCTCCCGCTCTTGCTGGGAAGAGGGAGGGAAGGCAGCAGAGGTGACAAGCATGGATGAGCCCAGGCTCTGCTGCAGCCTCACTGTGTGACCTTGAGCAAGTTCTTCACTGGCTCTCAGCCTCAGATTCCTCACATATAAAATGGTGACTACCTCAGAGGGCCACTGGGAAGTCACTGAAATGTAATGCTTTTAAAGCGGGGCAGCAAAACTAAAACCATTCCCGAGGCCAACTCTTCAAAGATTAAACTGGACTATGGGACGTAAAGTGATACTTGTGAAGAGCGTGCTTCTTAGCTCAAGTAGATACATGAGACTAAATGGGCAGCTCCTGTCCAGAGGTGAGATGAGAAGGCAGAGAGGGCCAGGAGCTAGGTGAATGGACACGGGAAATCTGAGGTGGAAAGGAGGAGTGTGCTGTCACAGTATAGGGACAGCAACTAGGGTCACATAACAATGTATGTATAAATTTTTCTATGAGAGACTAACTTGAATTGTAAACTTTCACTTCAAGCCCAACAATTAAAAAAAAAAAGATGAGGAGGAGATAAAATAAAGACAGTCAGTTTTAGCTGGTATCATCATTTATACTGAAACTTCTCATCACCTGGGGAGACCAGATGCTCCTTGAGGACAGCAATCTTCTGCACACAGTAGGCAGTCAATAAACTCAGAGCACGTGAAGGGGGACAGAGCAGGCGTGGGGCACAGTGCAGGGCTTGGGCATCAGTGTGTGGTGGGGGGAGGGGGCAGAGTCAAGTTTCAAGTGGATGTTGGGCGGGGTGGGGTCTTCAGGGGTAGAGGGAGGAAGCTGAAGCCAGTGAGGCTCTAGGCCCCTCTTTGTTCCTGCGCAACCCTGGGTGCCCTAAAGAAGGAAATGAATTCCCCACAGGTGGGGAGCTCCAGTAGAGCTCTTTGTTGCAGCCCCAGTCACTAGTGCAGGGACCCACCCAGAAGCTCAGTGACCTGAGGTGACTAAACACCCACAGTGCAAACAGCTCGCCATTTAGCCTGACAACTGATCTGGTAAGCCCAGAATCCTCCCAACAAACTCAGGAGGTATCCATTGTTTCATGCCCATTTCATAAATGGGGAAACTGAGGCTCAGAGGGAGAGTAATATGCCCAACCTCACACAGTCTGACAGAGACAGCCTTCCAACTCAGGTCTGCTGTGGAGCCTAGACAAACAGCAACTCCAAAGGGGGCCATTCAGATGGCACAGACTCACTGGGGCCACTATCCCTGAGGTATACCTGGGTGTGGTCAGGAAAGCACAGGAAGGAGAGTGGGAGAGGTTCAAGGGAGTGGGGGGACCTTTTCTCTCAGTTATGGAAAATGCCTTTTTCAGGAAGCTTCCTGCCAGGCAGTTCATTTGACCTCTCCCTGGAAAGCCTTCCATGGTCAGCACTGCCTCTTAGTAGAGGTGTAGACCTGCTTTCCACCTAGGGCTTCAGTCTCCCCATCTGGACAAGAGCAGAGAATCTACCATAGATGTGCCCACATTTTGCAGAAGGTAGGCCAAGGTACCAAGGGGTGGGTCTGCCCAACC